ATATAACAATAGCATCAGTATTTTAAGTATTACTTATTGAGCACTTACCACATGCTAGTATATGTGTACATATGTATGTATGCATATATCTGAGGGTACTTCAAAAAGTTCATGGAAAAATAAAATTAAAAGGTAATACAAATCTTTTTATGAACTTTTTGAAGACCCCTTACAAGTGTATGTGTGTATATATGTATGCATAGACACATATATATGTATACAAATGTGTTTATGTGTGTATTTTGTATATATCTATCTATATATAAAATTTCCAATTTGTTCACCAAGTCTGCATGGGAAGCATAATTTTTGTTTCATAGAAGGGTCAACCAAGGCATGAAGAGCAGGTAACTTGCCCAAGATCCCACCATTACTATGTGTTAGGGTTGGAACCATAAAGCCCAAGCTGTCCCCACTTCTCCAGGCTGCCCCCTGCCTCTATTTCCCTACTCTGCAAACTTTCCTTCACATCATGACAGCCTTTCTTCATAGTGTACATGTCAACCTCTTAATTTGCCTAATGAGAAAGCAAACATACCAGGGCTCCTTTTATGGATTTTAAACCATAAAGATCACCTTCCCTGAAAAGGAAAGTGTAAGGTTGCTTTGCACCTTACCAAGTGTATTGGTTTGCTTTTCNGAGAAAGCATACATACCAGGGCTCCTTTTATGGATTTTAAACCATAAAGATCACCCTCCCTGAAAAGGAAAGTGTAAGGTTGCTTTGCACCTTACCAAGTGTATTGGTTTGCTTTTCAATAGATACAGAAAGACAAAAAAAATAGAATTTCAAGTGGCATGGACACATGGGAAACCATTTTATATCTAGCAATAATATCAAAAACTAAAAAAGACACAATTGTTAAATAAATTGTGTGTGTGCGGGGGGGAGGGGAATCACAATTTCAGAATTCCTTTTCTCCCCAAATTCACTTCTAAACTTTCTGATCCTCTCCATAATAAGTACGATTCTTTGCAGCCATTTGGTCCTCTATAAAATGCTTTCATATTATTTCACTTGCTCCTCACTAGATTCCTGTAAAGCATAAGAGCAGATAGCATCCCTCTCATTTTATAAATAAAAAACAAAACTCAAACTAGAGAGGTTAAATAACTTGCCTGAGGTCACACAGCCAGTAAGAGATAAGGGAGGGGGGGTGAGAACTAGCATCTTCAGACACCCAGGCCACTGGTTCTATCTCAAAGAGCTTGATCTCTTGCATTTGACTAGAGACCTTTTCATAAAATCCCATTCCATCCCACATGATGCAAATCAAGGAATGACACTTCACAGTCACAAAATCATTCTATTAGTTAGACCCAGGATACTGACCCCAATGGCCTTCATCAGCTGGTGCCAATGCCTGTCCCTGAGGGCAGGGCTCTGTAACTCTGTGATGGCTCTCAGGGAGGCTGCCATGTCCTTTACTGTGCCTTCCAGGCCTGCGTAAGCATCCCAGACACGGACTTCCTTGTCTAGTAACCAGATTTCCTAAGAAAAAGTGGGAAAAACCCGGATTTCTAGATATAATAATACATTACATAATGGCCTCCTTTGGAAGAATAAGTATACGTTTTCTATTCCTGGATTAAGAAAGAGAGTAAAAGCATTTAAAAGCCTAGACTGAGGAATAAAACCAGAGAAATGGAAAGGGGTCCACTCACTCATATATTGAGTCTACTATGTACAAGCCACTTGGATACACTGGTTTCTTATTCACAAGATCTAACTGTATGTCTCACAAGGAAACCCATGGGACATTAAATGTAGGGAAGTAATAGAGATCACAGGACATGTGCAATGAGGAGTGTTTCCTCTAGAAACATAAAAAGCAGAAACTGAGATTGTTTCCTGGATTACTAAGAACCCTCTCCAAATTTCTGACTCATTCAAAT